AAAGATGCGTCAAGTGTCAGCGTTTTAGGTATTTTCCTTCCCAGTGCATTAAATGAATGTTAAAATCCTAACGGCGAGGCAACACGGCACGTTCAACTCCGCGCTGGGGAGAGTTGTGCCGCTCAGATTTTTTAGTTGTTTCAGTTGTAGCAAATGATTTTACGCGTAAGAAATAAAATAATTATTGCCAATATATGATTTACTATTATTTATTAATCATTTGTTATAAACTTTTAAAGATTTTTAGGAACAATCTTAAGATTTCTAGATTTTTGTAAGTACAAATAAACATTTTCTGACTTATATTCTATAATTTCATAGTTAAGTCACTTAAAATATAGTTTTCGTAATAAGTATTTTTATTATAAACATTCAAAGGATTTTTCCAACAATCGTAACATTTATAGATTTTTGTTAATAAATAAACATTTCTGACTTAAATTTTACAATTACATAATTAGTCAGTCTTTTAAAATATTTTTTGAAATAATTAATTGTAAAAACTCTACTTTCTGATCACGAAGTAGTATAAGGAGACGTAACGCCCATAGTAGATTGTGGTGAAAGTGAGCCCCAAAATCGTGTCCTAGAGTTTACGCATTTTTCTAATAATGCAATGAGGACGCCGCGCGTGGAGAAATAGAGAATTAAAATTTATCACGTGCTCGCATGTGCTGACAAATTGTCTTGAACCGGTGTTTCGCGCTTGCACTTTGTGCTTTGTTAATGTTATCAGTGAAATGTCATGTTTTATAAAAGGATGTGGATCAAAAATAACTACAAAAGAAGAAAGAAATGGAGAAAATCGAAGTTTTTTTTCGGCTCGAACAGTATTTAATTTTTATTATTTATTATTGTTTTATTATTGTTAATATTATATCATTAGAGTTTTAATTATTTCCGATGTGTTTTTTATTTTTTAATGCTTTCCTATTATAGAATGAAAGTTTGTTAACTTGGTCAAGTGCTATTGTTGGCATTGGAAAAAACCAAAATTGACAAAAAAGGATAAGATATGTGATTTGCACTTTGTGGAATCAGATATTCTGAAAGATTATATCACAAAGTTACCTGATGGTAGTGAACACAAAATAAAACGAGGTAGATATGACCTTGTAAAAGGAGCAGTGCCGTCAATATTTACTCATCAGTTAAAAGAAAAACAGTGTCTTTTAGAAAATGAAAGGCTTCAAGATTCGCTGAAAAATTTGGAAAAACAAATGAAAGCTGGAAATGCTTTCAATGTAATTTCTGAAAATTTTCAACGGATAATACCAAAAGGCCTGTGATATGCTACGACTGTCAAAGTAGTTTAGTTTTATCAGAGAATGCTGAAATACCCGAAAGACACAAACTTATCAATTTAAAAACAAAAGGTTTTTTGAAGCATCCATCTCTTGATTTATTCGATTTGATTTCTATTCTCGAGGTTGCAACATTAGCTACCATTAAAGATAAAGATGTTAATGTTGACAATATATTTCAAATCACTGAAGCACTTGACGAATTATGTCCAATACCCTTTGTTGGTTGCAAAGAACACTCTCCTGTGTTAACGAAAAAAGTTATTACTTTTTACTTGACCATGAGAATGTTTTTCATTACAAAGCAATATAATAAAATGCATAATCGCAGTCGAGAGTTGACAAGAGAGAAAAGAAAGACAGCTAAATTATCTGAAGAAAAGAGAAAAGAATTAAATGTGGTTGATAAGAGTAAACAAAACTGTTGCGACGTTTCCAATAAAACGGGATTTAAAAGGAAACGGCCCAGAAAAAGAAAAAGCTCTGTACTTCAGCCCAAACGAAAAAAAAAAGTTTCTTGAAATTTCAAAGAAAAAAAACAAATGAAATAAAATAAAGCACCACTTGTTTAAGGCATTTACTTAACTGTGATAATATTTAAAGGAAAGTGATATTAATTGTTTGTTTAATTAATAGACATTTATAAATCGGACTGCAGATATTCATTCGTTTAAAGATTATATTTGTATCTTTTATATTTAATTTTACCGATGTAAATATGATGTAGGGTAACTGCACCAGTGGTGGATTAGTTAAGCCCCTTAACTTTCTTGTTTTGACTTTGAAGTTCTGTATAGGTTGCTTTTAGACAAATTTGAGGTTATTCTTTATAGTATTATGGACCAGATAGTTCCAATAGACATTTCCTTCAAGGTTGGACTTGATTTTGACACCTACGTTTACTTTAATGCTCCATCAAAGATAATTTGTCAATGATCCTATTCTGGATCACTGTTTGCACCAGTCATGGTTATAGATTGCTCCAGTGGTGGATCACTTAAAAAATCATACTAAAAAACATTGCATTTCAAAATTACGAGACTGAGAAGTTTTGCAACTTTTATAAGGCTTTACGGACAGATTTTCAAATTCACTTTCCTATCCATATTCCCTCCTCTTTCATTTCTATAGGTATAATGTGACTAAATGTTAATTAATCATCTTTTTATTAGAATTTTTGGTAATAAATAAATAGAAACTCTTCAAGCTTCAGTTTCAATGATAAATAACATTTATTAATTCTGGGTATTTTAATTCAACAAAAATTTGACAATTTGAAATCAGGTGTTAACAATTAATAAACATTTGAATTAGTGTTAACTAAAATTTAACTCATAAAATTTTCAATAAAACAATGCGTCAACAGGCAAAAAGTAGGACTGATCCACCACTAGATTTTGTTACTTTTTTGGTTCCAGTCGTGGATCACCCGAAAACAATGGACACGCGCTACTTACAGACGTAAATATTGTTCTCAGGGCTCTATGGGGATGAAACGAAATGCCTCATATTGTGAAAAGAATTAAAAATTGCCCTAAAATGGCTCCAAAGCTTTCTATTCCAAAATATACTCTTAACTTACATGCTAAGGAAAACTCTTGTCTTCTAGCACCACTTTAGTAATTGTTGTCCTGCTTTCTTCGCGATGAATTTAAAAATTTTTTTAAATTGTAATATTGATCTGTATAACTTTCTTAACAATTACCGACACTTGCGGTTCATTTACTTACAAACGTGTAAACACAAATGACCATTTTTCTCGCAGTTGATCCACCACTGGTGCAGTTACCCTATATATAGAGAACTGAAAAAAAGATTATCTTTTTAAAACTAAATTAATAAATAAAAGAAAATTTTACTCTGATTAAGTCATTTTTATACTTTTTTATGTAACAGCACAGATAGCGAGGAATTAACAAAATTGTACAGTATACCCCAGTCGAAAATCGCAAGTTTCCCTGAAGCGTTCATAAAGCCTTAAAGTAACTGTTATAAAGCTTTGAAATGCTTCCTGACAACTATCTATACATTAGAACTAAAACACCTTGATATTAGCTTTCTGGCTTCTTAATAGGAAGCTTTTTCTTCAGCTTGTTAAATACCTGTGGACAGCTTGTAGCAAAGGATCTGACAGTTTGCTCGACGAAAGCTTTCCTAATACTTGGTTTAGTGTGTAAGAGAGCAATTTTATTTGCTTTCCACAAGTTGCTTAAGAATATGTATTTTAATTACCCTTTTTACACTTCCTGGGAGCTAGATTCATCAATTTTAATTAACTTCACTCAATTAAATTAAATCAATCATAACTTTTAAACACTTCAAATATATATGAAAAAAAATATTTGTAGCTAGTTTAATTGCAGACTCTTGAGCGAAAATTGGGGTTAGGAATACGAACAGGCTGAAAACCTTATATCGCATTCATCTGTGTATAAATATAATTTTCTTCGTTTCAGTATAATGCAAATTAAGGTCAGAAATCAATATAATATTTTTATTTTAATGTGTAATCAAAGTATAATATAAACCAAACTTCAAAATTCACATTCATTTCAATCAGGCCTGAATCTACAGAGAGGCAAGAGGGAGCACGTGCCCCGGGCGGCAAATTCATAATGGGGGTATAGAAAAACAGTCATTAGTTATTATTATATTATTATAATGTATTATTATATTTTATTTATATTGTATATTACAATTCCAGAAGAAAAAATAATTAAAAGGATCGAAAATTTAATTTAGGCTCCCTTTATAAAAATTCTTAGATCCGCGCCTGATCGATTACAGCTAAGTCGATCACTGCGTCGACTAACTTCACTATGCTTGAATGTCAGCAGTAGTTAGAATGTTTGTTTATTTTCACCGGCGTGTTATTAGGTTAATCAATTATAAGGATTGGTGGGTTGCAGTACGTTATGAGGACAATCAAAAGGAAGTGTTAAAGTGCACTAAAATAAAATATTTTAAACCGCAACATATTATGGATTTCGACTCTACTAATGTTTACAAGGTTAAAACAACTACGTGGAATGCAAAAGGAATTATTTTTTATCTATGTTATTTTTCTGATGCTTCCTGAAACATCCATGACGCTTCATTTAATTTTCGCCACCTGAACTTTTTCCGTTAATTTTTTGTAAAATCCAGCGACTTTCTGATAACTCTTTCAAAGCCATCTGAATGCTTTGTTTAAAGTGTTAAAAATGTGCTATCTGCAAGCTTTCCTTGGAAGCGAAAAATCGGCCATAATATGCTCTCTGAAAGCTTTCTACAGCTAGCTTACTACTATCTAACACTTTTCTAATGGTTATCCCAACGCTTTAAAACAACTTTTTGTTCAGCTTAAGACAGCGTAGGATTTTCGACTGGGACAGTATACAAGTATTATAAGTACATTTGTTATATAAAAAACGTTAATCTTTAACATTTATTTGATTATTCTAATTCGTCAACAGCTTTTAATAATGAAATTAAGTCATCCACAGATTCGATTCTCACAAACCTTGAAAAAGGATGAATTTTTTTATTTATAATAATTTTAATACTTAAATCGCTATACAAAACAACTCTTTTTATTACACTCGCCTTATCATCATTCTCTAATTTCAAAAAAGCAAGGAAAGATTCATTTCCTTTAATGTAGCACCACTTTTCTGATGGCAATTCTATCATACTTAAATTGGTTTTGCAAGTTGTAAAATTGAATGTTGTAAAATCCATATTTGGCTTCAGCAACTACATTCTATATTTATTATTTTATTCTCCAAATATTTAATGAATAACCTAAAATAAAGTAATATTTATGATAAATGTTGTAATTTTAATCTTCAAAACATAAGTTATTTATTAAATTCTTAATGAAAAACGTACCTTTCATTTACTTTCACTAATATTTAATATTTCACAATATTTATTTATTACACAATATTTTATCAAAACCACTTCGTGATCAATACACTTTTGCTGTCAACTACAGTTGTTTACGCGATAGCAGACAACATATTTTGATTCCGATTTATCTCAGTAGAGGCGCTACAAGAGCATTATTCGAAAACCTTAGTAACTCTAGGACACGCATTTGGGGTTGCTTTGAATGCATGGCGTTACGTCTCCTTATACTACTTCGTGTTTCTGATTAATAAATAATTTTTAAGACATGAATACTTATTCCGAATGCGATTTATTGAAATTACAATTGACACACATATAACTGACCCTGTTTTACCCTTCACACATTTTAAATGTGCCCAGTTTTTGTAAACAATGCATTGATTACACTTTTCTCTTGATTTCGGGTTGGAAGAACTATTCGAATAAACGAGGCAATAGTAGATTATGGTTATGTAGTGATTGACAGCGGCACAACCAGCCCCAAGCGAAAGGCACAATTAACCTCGTTGCGTCGACGCTCACTTTTTATCAAATATTAAAAAACTAGATAAATTAAATGTTAAGATCAATACACCATTGAATCCCTTGATAAATTTGGATCATATAAAAAAAATACGTATCGATATCTTTAAAAATGTAAAAAATAGACCAAAAAGTGTGATCATGAAAACTTGCACGTAAGTGACGCCAAAGCACCAAGTTACTAACAGCTAATTATTCTGTGAAGCAAACAAAATCAAAATAGTTCAAAAAAAAAATTTGTTTTTGAGGTATTCCTATCGGCACAACTTGCCCCCGGCACTTTCAGCCCCGGTCTCCCCTACATAAATCGCTTTCGATGATGCTTTGGAATACTAGAAGTATCATCCCCAAAAGACCAGAGTTGGATATTCTTCTTTGGATCTATAACCCGGATATAGTTTGCATAATAGAGACCTGTCTTTCACATTCTTCTAAATTTGAAATATCTATGTTTGTAACGGTGCGACAGGACCGCCCAAGAGGTAGGGGAGGAGGAGAAGTTTTAATTCTGATTCGCAGGAAAATTGCTGCAACCGAAAAAACTTGCGTCTATGCTCCCCCGCTTGGGAACATCACACCTGAAGTATGGGGTCATATTTTTAAACACCTTCCAACAGACGTGAATCACATATTTTTCAGCGTTTTTAATGCACATAATACTTGCTGGGCACAGTGGGCCAGAAAGCATCCAAAAGCGGCCATAATTCAAGATTTCAACGAATTTATATGAAACTTGATATTTAGGGGTTTTCAGGGTCGCTGATTACGTATCTGAGGTCAGATTTACGAAATTCAAAATTTCGAACCCAATATGGTTGATTATTTTAAAAAAAATTGTTAGATAATCATGAAACGTGTTTTATTTATAATTAAAACGTCTGCGGTTTGCCTACATAATCTGTAGTTTCCAGGGTCTACCACGAGGAGGTAGTAGTACGATTTTAGACCCCTCGTGGTGCTTTTTTATGTGAGTCCCCCCCACACTTTAAATTATAAATAACAAAATTAAAAAATTTTTAAACGTGGGGAATAGAATGCGTAAAAGCCTTTACAAAATGTGCTTCTGTAACACTTTTATTAATTGTTTAAACAGAGAATGTAAAATAAAATGTGAGGTTTTTATGTGCGGGAAGAAATAAAAACAAAAGAAGGATAGATATAAAACAAAAGAGCATCGATGTACGTGGAACAAAATATGTCTTTGTAAAAAATCATTTTCAAGGAAAAAATTTTCACCTTATTTTGTATATAACTCTACCAAATTAAAAAATGGGCAACTTTAATTGAAAGTACATTTAAATCTTCCTCTAACCTTTAATAAATATTACAATTAAACATTCCGAAGGTTGCAATTAAACCTTTAATAAATGTTCCATAAAGTTTGTTGCTGTATGGGGATTAATTAAATAGAAATTCAATTAAATCAGATTTTAAATAAATTGAAATTCTTCGATATGAAAATTAAGCGCATTATAAAATTCTACTGAATAAAAATTCGATAATTTTTAATTCGACAGCACAAAAATTCTGACAAGTCTAATATTCATGCATCCCTCATTATTACTTTTTTAAAAAAAGTTCTAATTCTTTTGTTCTTTTTAAGGAAACATTTTTTGAAGAATGAATTTTAACTTACCATTTAACTTTGTCGTCAGAATGAGTTAAAAAAGAATAACATTCTGACCAATTCCATTTACGTTTAAAGTGATGAGGATTTGCTTTTAATATATTGTAAGTTGCAGAAACAATATCATAATCTGTTATTGGATCAGTATCCATAGGTTCATTAACCTGATTTATTTGAGCAGTTGCATTTCCTTCTATATAGCTGAATGGAGCTGGGAGTTTTTCAAAATAATGCAAAGTAAATCTACAATAAAAAAATTTATTAATAATAATCGACAATAATAGTTAAAATGTGACTTTTACTTGTCCACATTTGAAGTTAATATTTTTTGCATGTTTTTCTTACTTTTTTGAAGATTTGAAATTTGAAATATTGAGTCTATTATGCTTACAAATATTGTTTGCTATATATAAAAATTGTAATATATATAAATGTAAAATATGTTACGTGCTCTCAAGAAAAAAGTGGTTTATTTTGAATAGAGGTATCGAATAATAAAGGGCATAGGAGGTTAAATATGCCCTATGTTTTGCTACCCATATAAGTATAAAATCCTGAAAGTATGAACCCTTAATTTGCTTTTTTGGGGGAGTTATGGAGAGGTAAAAGATAAAAAAACTCAATTTTCTCGAAAATTACTGGATGTATTATAACCCTTTGAGGCTGCAATCAAATGATAGCGTTTTGCGTTGTGTTTTGTAACTACAGTTCATAAGCGTAAACAGCAAACATACATCATCGTACTGCAGCCACATAATGACGCGAATGCAGAATTTTTGTAGGATTTCTCGTTATATATATAATGATAAAATCAGGAGGGAATCCATACATAATTACGTGTTCATATTTTATTTAATTAATAACACAATTAATATTTATTAATAATTTACTTTAATTAATTATATATAAATATGTGTGTGTATGATAAATCATGCGTGTGACACTTGTCGTGGTTCCAGACGCAACTGAACAGGATGCGCGAACATTCAAATTACATGCATTTGCTATCTTAACATCTGAGAGAGAGAAGAGTATCTCTAGTTGCAAGAATCATTATTACCATGCTGCGATCCTCACATGTTAAGCAGAAAACCATGAATGCAGAAGAGATAAAAAGATATCGCTATCGTTTACACTCTCATGATTTTCTGCTTTGCAAACTGCATTCGCGCCGTCATGGGACTGAGGTCTGAGTGTGGATGACGTGTATACACGTCATGAAAAAAAGAGGTCCAAAGTGTGGATGACGGGTATACACGTCATGGCCCAAACAAGAAAACATCTTAACGTATATTCGCAAAAATGTTTACGCGGGGGTTTTCGTTGTCGCTGATCACGATTCTGAAATCAGATTTTCAAAATACAGTAAAAATCCGTTTATCCGGACTAATAGATGCAGGCAGTATACTATATAAATAAATACATAAATATTCAGTAAAAATTATTGTAGAAAAGTTTGCATAAATATTTTTTTAACATTTTTAAATAAAAACGCTCCAACCCTTGCAGAAATTTTGCCAGGGTCCAGATCGGGGCCGGATCAGGCTGCCCTATTAGGGAATGAAACGCCGCGCCTGATGTGGCCCTGATTAGGAAATCCATATTTTCTGCTCGCCCTGATCAGGTGTGGCATTTCATTCCCTACTAGGGCCCTAGTAAGGCAATTTCTACACGGGAAATTAAGGAAAAAAATACACAAAACGAAATGAAAATTTGTCCGGATAATCGAAAATCCGGTTGATTGAGGTCCGGATAAACGGGTTTCTACTGTACATCATTTTTGATCCAATATGATCGCCAAAAATTTTGAAAAATGTTAAAAATCGATATATTTGACTAAAATTTTTTACTTAAATAACGCTATAGTATTGGATATAGAGAGCTGAAATTTGGTACATACATGTACACGGAGAGAAATAGATGGTACGGGGTACTATCTAGATAGTACCAGGTACCATATTTGATCTTACATATACGGACAGCAATCTAGATTCTATCAGTTACTATCCAGATTGTACGGAGTAACATCTTGATTGTAGTGGGTAACATAACCATACTTTTTGTAACATCTTTGATAGTACCGATTACTTACACAGAAAATGATAGAGTTTTGGTTGAAAATTAAAAATTTTCGATTTTTAATAATTGTTATTGCAAAATTAATTGTTTATTTAAAAAATAAACCATGTTCTCGTTGTCGTAGAAAGTTGATCCAAGTTTATTGGATAGGGAATTTTATAAGGATTCGAAAACCGTTTTAAAATTTCGTGGATCGCAATTAGCAAAAAAGTTATCGCGTTTTTTGTGCGGCGCTGCGTTTCTCTAGCGCTATCACGCAGAATGTATTTTGATCAAAAAGTATGGAAACTTGCAAATATCTCGAAAAGTACGAATTTTTATAAAAAATGTTCAAGACAAAAGTTGTTCCTAACAAAAAGATCTACATTTGTGAACCCAAAAAATTGGTTGTTTTTGTTAAATAAAATCCTCTAATTTTCAGAATCAAATTCGTAATCCCTATGAAATTATGTGTTTTAACGTGTGAAGTATATTACCAAAATATTGGGCTGAGGAATCTTACATTGGGCTCTAGGCCTAAAGCGAAAATTAGCTTCGAAGTTCTAATATGTTACCCCAAAAACCCCATAAACCGCGATTTTTTAAATTCACTTATTTGAAGAAAAATGTTGGGCCTTGTGTCTAGGATTCTATCTAACAAAATATTTAAAAACGGTGAAAATCACCAACTTCTAGCTATTATCCACAAGAGGCAGATGTCTTATGTGACGGACAATATCTTTTAATAAAAAACCTTCTACTCTTTGCTGTGCAGGGCTATTTCCAAAAGAACTTTTAGGGGAAGACATGTTGGAGAAGGGGGGTCGGGGTGGGTTCCGTACCTTCCAGTACCATTAAGAATGTGAATTTGACTGTCTGTCTGTTTTGAAAGAGAGCAACGATACTAGGGAAGGCGGGCTTCGCCCGCCTCTGCATTCTTTGCTGTGCAGGGCTACTTCCATAAGACCTTTTAGGGGAAGACATCTTGGAGGAGGGGGGTCGGGGTGGGTTCCGTACCTTCCAGTTTTAATTTTTTTTAATTTTGCGTTTTTTACGAGTTAAACGCAAAAAACCATAATTTTATGGTGTTTTTTATGGTTTTCACCATAAAAATGAAATTTGCGGTAATTTTCACTATCATTTTCGTGATCAGCGCATCAAATTACGTAAGTATACCAAGTTTCATTAAAATCGGAAGGGGGGGGGGGTTTCGGAAGTGCACCCTTTTCTTTTGCTAAATTGAAATTAGTTCGAAGCGGAATAACTTATTTTATTAAAATATTGCTTCCTCATGGAGGAAGTACTGTTTTCGCGAAATTTTTCGAACTCATTTTTTTGACATATCTTTATGTTTTTTGACCTCAGGAATCCAAAAATTACATTTTTAGAAAATGTCATTCCGTATGTGTGTGTGTGTGTATATACATTACATTTTCATAAATATCTCAAATTCTATAAGAGCTTTAGGGCTGAATTTTTTTTAAATTGTAGATCTCACTTGGGGACATAAAATGAGAAAACTTTGGGACAAATTAATACATATTAACTATATTTTTTTTGACTTTTAAAATTTTTGAAAAATCGTTTTTTGCCCATAACTTGAAACACATGTTTTGAAAGTTGGGATGTTTTTACTTAATTTTGTAGAGTTTTTTAAGACGCATTTTTTGAGCTATTGACGAACAATCTGCTATCATTTTATCCAAAGTTATTGACATTTTAAAAATCATAAAAAATCGTTTTTTGCTTATAACTTTAAAAAAATGTTATGACACCTACAGTTTTCTTAGTCTCATTTTGTAGAGATTTTCAAGACGCATCTTTTGACCTATTAACGAACAGTTTACGATTATTTTATCCAAAGTTATTGACATTTTAAAAATCATAAAAAATCGTTTTTTGCTCATAACTTTAAAAAAATGTTATGACACCTACAATCGTAAACTGATCGCAAAATATCTCCATGAGGAAGCAAAGTGTTCATGGAATGAACACAAAAATACATACTTCAACTTGGCAGCGGTTTTTGGTTTGTTGATTTTCGTTAATTGAGAACTCCGATTCTATAAGGGGCTCTACGCTTGAGGTAGCCGCCTTGCGACCAGTCAGGTGGTTCAAAAATGGAAAAAAATAAAATTCAAAATTAAAATTTTTTAAAAACGCTATCCTGCAGGAAATAAAAATCCGCACCTTCTTTTCCTTTGCGATTTTTTTATAAAACAAATATTAAAATTAATAGAGGCAAATAGTAGAAAATTTTTTACGATAATTTAATGGACTTGATTAAGTACTCTTAAATGGCGTTAACATTTTACTATGGATATTAATTATTTATTTTTTTAATTACAGTGTTCCTTCTTCCACATTTAAAAAATGGGCTATAGAAATTGAAAACCACTTTTCCAAAGAAAGAAGTGCAGTGTATTATAGTCCATATACATCTGAAAATGGATAGAGTGTCCCTCCAAGCGGAAAATTATATGACCATTTTCACAATGTTAAACGCAATTTGATTCAAAGTGGTTCAATTAAATCGGGAAAGAAAAGAAAATCATCTGAAAATCAGGAACTTGTTGATAGTGAGTTGTATATTATTGTTTATAATAATGATAGCTGAAATAGTTTAAATAAGACTGAAATGTCGAATACTGCATATTAAAATTTTGTAATTCGTTTATTGTAGGAAATCGAGTTGCTGCTGACATTGAGTGGCTTGAGACACATAATGAACCTATTGAAGATCTGTATGGAAAGTGTAAAGATACTTTTGACAATAGACAGCATTTATTAACTGTAAAAAGTCTATCGGTTTCAGACTACATGCAAAAGGTTTTGGCTCTGCGTGTTGACAGAGGACAAGATTTGGTAAGGAAATAAATATCTTATTAATAAAATAATTAATTTTAAAATTAAAATATAAAATAAATAATTAATAAAATTATTAATAAAATAAATAAAAATCCATAAATCTTATAGATTTTTATTATTATTTATAATTGTTTTTAATTTCTTTCAATATTTTCAGATAAATTTCGATTTTAATCTGCTGTATCCAGGAAAGTCGAACTTACTTTTTGAAAAGTGGGAATTAATTAAGAGTCAAATAATTTCAAGTATTCAATCAATAAAGAAGAAAAGCATAGTGAAAGAAGATTTGGAGTATTTCTATTTATTATCAAATATGG